GAACTCAAAGCCCAGTGGGCCCAGTCCAGAAATGTGCCCTTAGCCAGGCAATTAACTTCATACATATGCACAAATGCACATGTGCATGTGCACATGCAGAAACACACACACAGAGCCAATAATATTATTGAAAGGACCTGGAGGCTATTAAATACAAAATGGCAGAGTTGTTTTTGTTTTGTTTTTTTATGTGAAAATATTTGCTTGATTCTCTTCAGTGCCCTGTAGTTCCCCTAGTCACAGAAGTGTAAATGTGGGGAGGCCCAGGAAGAGTAGGTTGCCAGTGGTCCTCTAAGTCCATTTGTACTGAAGTCCCCATATCAACCATCTTACTCTTCAGCCCAGTAGTTGCCTCCCATGTGACCATTCACCCGATTGGCACCATTGCTGGAACTGCTGCCACAGGGACTTTTTGTGCTGCTCATATCTTCTTCCTCTGAGCTGCTCTCCACATCACTGCGATCATCCTTAGACACCTAGGTGGGTTGGGGGCCAAAGGCAGGAAGGTGAGGACAGAACTTTTCTGGAGATAATATACAACAGATTGAGCCCTCAGAACCTACATTTGGGTACTGCTCCTGTTTGGTCTACTTTAGGTGACACCTGACTTAAAAGTATTATCTGAACTATGGCAACTGTTCTGATTTTTTTTTTTGCCTGTTTTCTGATTCTTTCTTGTCATCTCTGATTTTCTTCTCTATGGAATAGAAAGAAGCTGCTTTGCAAGTGAGGTCTTTCTTTCTCAGGATCAGCCTAAGAGAGCCAAAATCATTCAATGAGTCTTCAGTTTAGATTTGAAAGAAACTCCACATACTCTTTCTCTTCTTCCCTTCAAAGGCCAATACAAGAAACATGTGGTTGTCTTCAATGCTTTTATCCTCTGGTGGTTTTTGCCACTGCAGTTATTCATGTTGGTGATCCTGAACTTTTATACCAAAGTTGACTCAAATATGGGCCTCTTCCAGTAGTTCTACTATTCCTGCATTCAACTATCATCATTACCCTTTCCCTGGTACTCTCGCCTTTCCCAACAGAAAACTTACTTTTCTTATACAACTTCAGCATCCCCAAGATATATAGTATTTTAAAAAGAAAAGGGGAATGGCAATCAATGGGAAAAGAATCCCGGTCCCAATCATGCTACTATCTGTGAGTTTGAATCTCAGCCTTTTATTTTGTATTTTCAAATAAAGAGTTTGATTCTCAACCCAAACTATCTTGCATGTCAAGCACAATAGTCCCTTTTTTAAAAAAAACAAAAACCAAGGACTGCATAAGGAAAGAAGGGAAGAGGTCAAAAAGGAACAAAGATACAATTGTTGTTGCCACAGAAGGGTACACACTTACTTTGGATTAGCTCTAAGATTCATAGCTATTGACCTCTCAACCCAGAAAGCTAATTGGTTACTTAATCTTTAGGAAATTTCCATCAGAAGGCAGTATCTCTAGATTTGAGGTAAAGGGAGGCTTTAAAAAAATGTAGACTCAACTCTTCTCAATTTAGGAAAAGAATCTGGTGGATTCAACTCCAGTCAGCAAGGTCAGGGGAGAGGGCATGCTCTGAGACAAACACAGGGGAACAGAAAGGAGAGCAGGAAGGAAGAGAATCACATTCAGACAGACATGCTTCACTGAATACTAGAAGCACAGATACACTTACATGCAAGAGATGAAACTGTCCAGCTCCCACCAGGCATAGAAAAAAGGAAGGAGGTGAGAAAAGAGTGAAGAGTACAGAGTCTGGGTCTAATCCTTCCTGGATAAGTCACCTGGTCAGGAAAGAAAAGCAGGAGAGACAAGAGATATCCAGTAGCCATAGCAAGATACACAAGCACACTGAGCAAGTTCTAAAATCAAGAGCAGCCATAAGGAACAATGACACAAGAGATTATACATATATATAAATATATATGTCTGGGGTACACTCTACCCTATTGTCTTAGAGTCAGTGCCTCCTTCTAGAAGAACCTCTTCTTCTTGGTATTCTTATTACTGAAGCTGATTATTATTATCCTCAGCTCTTGGGTCAAGCACAGTCTGACTGCTTTAGAACTTGCCAAATTTAATTATTAGTTTTATATAATGGCACTTTTCTTTGCGCTCTTGGGATCTTGGCTTAAGATGGGGATCTGAAAGCCTAAATACCTACTTCAGTTAGACAGCTGCCTCATACATCAAGGGGAAGATGAGGTAGGTGCTTAGTCCCTTGAAACATCACAATGTGGTTATCCTGGAGAGGCTAGTGAACTACCATTTCACCATGAAGTCAACTTAACAGCTGTTTTTATAGTTTATATCTTTTAGTTTTATATATGATTTCCTTTGAAACAAAGTTCCCATGCTAAAAATGAAAATAGGAAATTAACTGAAGCAGTTAGTTAGGTTGTTGCTGCCATCGAGTTGGTACCGACTCATAGCAATCCTATGCACAGCAGAACGAAACACTGCCCAATCCTGGGCCAACCTCACTAGTGTTGCCACGCTTGAGTCCATCGATGCTGAAGTAGTCAGGTTGTTGTTAAGTGCCATCGAGTCGATTCCGACCCATAGCGACCCTGTATAGGGGACTAGGAAATGGTTGAGGTCATCTTCCAAACTCCTGACTCTTACTTTTTCTTTAACAACAGCCATTCCTAAGGGCCAGGAAGAAGTACATCCTTCCTTTTGCATCTAAGACATGTCTTAAGAAACTAAACATCCATACTCAAAGGAAAAAACTTTGCAGCCGTAACATTTTTGCTTGTTATGATTTTGTAAACAAGACTTCCTAGGTTAAATGGAAAGAGAAGATCTACTGACCTCCAAATAAGAACAAAGAAAGAAGTCATCTTTCATCCTTACCTTTCCTCGGATCAAGGCTTTGAAAGCAATTCGTGCAATTAGGTAGGACCAGATGACATGCAGAACCTGTAGGATCAGGAGAAGGCCATTGAAGAGCCACCAGGAGGGATAGGGACCGATTATTTCCCAACTCTCAAAGAGGGTTGTGTTCAGGATCCTAGAAGAGGGAAGGCAACAGTCAGATTCTAGAATCCAAGCTAGGCAGATAGGGATAAAGCTGAGTTTCCTGGGAAACAGAGCCTTAAGTGAATTTCCCTCCATATCTTATATCAGTTGAAGTTCCAGAGATCTTCATCCAGTGAGAAAGGAATATTAGAAGACATATGAATCTTAAGAGCTGATGGCTTTAAGTCCTGTTAATCACTTTAAGTATGCAGTTTCACAAAGTTGGGATGGCAGCAGGATCTTTGTTCTAGAAATTACTCAGATCTTCAGAAGCATACTGAAATTTCTTCACACTAAGCAAATTCTCCAGTCCACTGAGTCACTGAAAGAGGGGTATGAGAATCTGTGCTGTTTAGGGTGGAGAAGAGGGTAGAGAACACAGATATAACAAGAAGAATCTGAGAATGTTGTGATTAGTGTAAAGGAAACTAAAGGAATTACTTTGGCATAAAATAAGAATCATTCCTCAAAAATGAGTCAGAAGGACACAGGCTACCCAAAATGGGGGGTGAGAGTGGGGGAGGGGGCTACAAAGGTAAGAAGTGACTGGTTTAAAAGCTTTCAAGAGGGAGCCTAGATCCAGAGGGTGCAGTGGAAGGTAGAATCTCCACTGAGTAGTAACCAATTTGTCTGGGCAGGGCTGATGAAAGGAAATGGGGATAGGTCCCTTGTGGTACAATGGTGAATAACTGTTATCAGGACTGACTGAGAGGGTTGGAAATGTAAAGGTGGACATTTTATAGCAAAAGGAGGGGAGTGATTCACTATGCAGTCCAGGAGCCGAGGTCCCTAGAACCATCAAGGGAAAAGAGCAGAGTGCGGGACCCTACCCAGAGAAACAGTAATGCCAGAGATGGAGGCAGAGATGATGACGTGGAAAGATGGAGCAGCTGGGGACTCTAGACCCAGAGAAGGAGAGGGATTATGTGCTGATGACTCAGGGGCAGGCTTGCAGGGAATAATACCTTTTGGTTGGTTGATGATGAATGGAGGGAATTGTAACCATGGCAATGAAATGATATACAATAGGATAAATGTAAAGCTAATGTTCTCCCATGTAAACTATCACATAATTCACAATAAAACAGTAAAAAAAAAAAGAGTCAGGAAAGCCAAAAGTCAAGTGAGTTGGGTACTATAAGAGTGTATCATAACACTGCTAGAAATACTGTGCAAGGCAACTGAGTCAGTCCATTGAGGGTCAGGTTAGGCCAAGGTAAAGGCAAGGAAATAGGATTCTTGAAGTTCTCTTCCCTAAATTGCTAAAATGAATCATTAGCCACATATTTATCACAGTTCTAAGCTCTAGCACTTACCAGAATGGATAGATTCCTAGACGAGTGACCACAAATACAGCACTGAAGATCACAAAAAAAGTGTCACAGAGCCTCTGATACTTGGCATAATTGGCCAGCTTGGCTGCCTGGAGAAGGGAATATAAGAATGAGAGGGAGAAGAATGCCACTTTTCACTTAGGAAGGAAAGGAGAGAAAGAAATAATGAGGAAAGATGGATTATGTCTCACCTCCAGCAAAAAGTCTGAGGCATCATGTAGACACATGACTAGAGTTCCAACCCGAACCATGTTGTTGATATAAGAGAAAGTGATGAGCCCAATGGTGGCCAAGTGATGCACAAACATGATCAGGAAGTCCTAGGAAGGAATGAAAATCAAAGAGGCAGGTAAGGGCAAGGCTATAGAGATGCTAGCTAACACAATGATCCCTGAGGATCCCTTAGCGGTTCCATTTGCTTTAGGTTCCCTCTTAGGGGAATACTACCTACAGAGCCACTGACCCAGAGTCCACTTTAATATAGCTCCAAGCAGAGAAAAGAGCAATGTTCTGGATAGTTGCAGGCTATGTAGAGCATGGATGCTGAACTGACACTTGGGACTAAATTCCCAGGTGGCAGTAGGACACACAAGTCTTAGACAGACCCAAGATTCTAAAATTATTCTGCTTTGATGAAGGAAGTTTCAGCCAAAGGGTTGTAACAGAAAGAAGAGAGTTGTACAGTGACTAGGCTAAACCCTTCCAAAAAGTTTCAGAAGAAATTCACATTGGCTAAAGAATCAGTATTACTAGAAACACTACCTGGTTTCATACTTAAAGCTAAGGTTCTTGTTGTTGTTATGTACCATGGAGTCGATTCCGATCCATAGCGACCCTGTACAGGGTTTCCGAGGCTGTAAATCTTACGGGAGCAGAAAGCCTCATCTTTCTCCCGTGGAACAGCTGGTAGTTTCGAACTGCTGGCCTTGCGGTTTGTAACCACACTAGACCTTGGAAAAGCTCTGAGTTAATAAATATTTCTCAGTCCAGTGAGGGGCAGAGGGTGAGAAAGAGTATGTGAATTTGGGTCAGAGACAGAAGGATGAAAAGTATATGGTCTCCACATAGGCAGATAAAATGGTATTAATATGGTCTAGTTTGTAAGTTTGAGTGATGGGTTTACACATATTAAAAACATTATTATAAAATTTTACCAAGTGAGGGACCTGTGTTTCATGACCACAGGAAGGTGAAAGGCTCCCTATGAATTATCAAGCTTCTAGGTTAAATAACAACTAATGACCCAGATTTGTCTCAACCTATTCCCATAAATCCTAACATGAGTTTTCCTTACCAAAGGTGACCATGAGTTAACAAGAGATCAGGGTTGGAGGTGGTGGGACTACATTATGTCAGGAACACCAATGAAAATGTAAAGATTCTACCTTTTCTATCTGGTTATAAAAAATTTAAGTTATTCCAATTCTGTTACTATGTGGGTAAGTCAATTTACTTCTTTAAATCTTTGCTTCCTTAACAACAGCAAGAAGAAGTAAAGAATTTAAAACCCCTTCACGCTGACATTCTTTGAGAAGTAAGGCCACCAAGAAGGAAGACCAGAGCAAGAGTCCCTAAGGTCACTAAACCAGATCTAGTTCTCCTGGAATCAAATCTTTTCTCTTAGCTAGACCTTGATATCCCAAATTTTGACTAGTTTCCTGAGCCTTAGACATTTAAGAACATTAAAGAAAAAGGAAAAGGGTATGATTCCTAGCTAGCTGTTTCACTCTGATTTACCTTGACTGTCTTCAATATACTTTTTCAAGTCTCATTTCTGGGAACATTACAAACAGTGATAAATCCATCAAATTTAGTTCTCCCTCTTTCAGTCAGGGCAAAGAATGCATAACAAATGAGGATGCAATTAGTTAGGGAGTTAAGGGAGCAAATGTCCTTACCTTTCTTTTAATATCTGTAAACTGAGAAAACATAAGAGACCAATAGAAGGCCAATTCCATGGTATAATAGTAATAAAGCCCACTCGTAAGAGGCTGGAAGAAAGAAAAAAAGCAGTTATACCTTAGATGCACCAGGTAGTCAAAGATACAATCTATCTAAGAAACGTTTTTGTTTTTTACAAGACCAATACTCAGATTAGAAATATCCTTCCTCCCTCATCATCATCCAAGACAGGAGAGACTTTGCACTGGTGTGACTTAAACTTCGTCTTTCTGTCCTTCTTCATACATACTTTGGCTTTCCGCTTTTAGAGATCAAATAAGGTTAATGTATACTATGGTACACCCAAATCAGTGTGTCTAGAATTTAAGCAATTAGTGCTTTTAAGAGGATTAAATTATGCTCTGGTCGTCTTCTCTTTAACCCTTTTAGCAGTTCCCTGACATTTTTCTAGTATAGCTTAGAACAAGGATACTCGTAAGGGAACTTCAAGTTATCTTTGATATAAAAGGGACACCTGGACCAATAAGTACCAGGAAGCTTCTTCCCCCATCGCAATCCAGTTAGGGTGGATATAAAGGCAAGAACCTGGAACTAAATTGCTGAATTTCACTGCTACAGTAGCCCCAAAAACAGATATCCTGGAAATATGACTCAAGTGACTTAGTCCTTAATCCATCATGAACACCAAGAAAATGTGCCATCTGTCCTGAGACTGGCATGCACTCTCCCCCACCCGACCTTACACACACACACAAGACCCCTGTCTTGAAAAGGCTCAGATCCTACCTGATATGGATAGCTATGCCAGCACTGTCGGGTGTCCCAGAACCAAGGTGTCTAAGAGAAAACAGATAATTCAGGTCAGCCTTCAGGATTCTCACCTTGTTCTAAAATTGCCCTGTTATCACCCCCTTCTCTCTAGGTTGAGGGCAAAAGAAAGACAGGGAATAAGAAGAAATTCCCTTGCCAGATTTTACGGATCCCTAAAGGATCAGTAAGTGCCTGACTAGTAACTAAAAGGCTGGATGTTCAAATCTACCTAGAGATATCTCAGAAGAAGGTCTGGCAACTTGCACTATGGAGTACAGTTCTACTATGCATGGATGGGGTGGCCATGAGTTAGACAATGACTCAATAGAAACTAGTGGTAGGTAATAAAGGAGTAGTAAATGGCTAGCTATTTCTTCTAAAACAAGAAAGTGTTAGTACGAATAGAATAATCATGCTTTCAGGTAAATAAGAACAGAATGAAAACACTAGGACAGTTTTAAGAAAAATCACCACCAGAGATAAAAGAAATGGAAGACATGATTCTGTCTGGCAATCAAAAGATTTCCATGCCAAACCAAAGACTTGGAAGTAATCATCTCTAATGAAATTTCAATTTTGTCTTTTAAAAAATTTTAAAAAATTTTTTGAAGCGTTTAACACATTTTATGCTTAAAAAATCAACTAGGTCATTCAGTGTGTGGTTTTTTTCATACATGTCATTAGGGTTATATGTCAACAAATGCTGATTTTATATGAATATAATCAACAAATTAAAGAATTTCATCAATCAATTGTCCTTTAAAGAATTTGTTCCCTTCATCTAAGCTGTTAAATTGCATTGAATTGTTCATAATTGAATGCATAATTGTTTTACTATCCTTTCAATGTCTATAATTATTGTTGTTGTTAAGTTCCATTGAGTTGGTTTCAACTCATAGCAACCCTGCATAGGCGTTTCTGAGGAACAACTGGTGGGTTTGAACAGTCTACCTTGTGACAAGTTAGTAGTGCAGTGTTTGTCCTACTATGGTGGTGGTGGTGGTTATGTGCTGTGGAGTTGGTTCCGACTCATAGTGACCCTGTACAGGGGTTCCGAGGCTGTAAATCTTTACGGGAGCAGAAAGCCTCATCTTTCTCTCATGGAACCACTGGTAGTTTCAAACTGCTGACCATGAAATTAGTAGCCCAACTCGTAACTACTACTCTACCAGAGCTGTCCTATTATAGTATCTGTAAATTATAATCTCTTTTCCCCTGATATTATAATTTGTTTTTTCATGATGAGCCTTGCTAGAGGTTTATTTTAATGGCAAGTTTCAAAGAACCAACTTTTGGCTTTGTTAATTTCCTCTATTGTTTGTCTAATGCCTATATCACTGTTTTCTGCTCTCTTTTCTTCTTTCCCCAACTTTGCTCTTCTTTTCCTTCATCTTAAAGTAGAAACTTCAATAACTGATTTTAAACCTTTCTTCTTTTCTAATATAAACACTTAAAGCTGTAAATTTCCCTCTAAGCAAGCTTTAGCTGTACCCAAATTTAACTATTAACATTTTATCATTCAATTAAAAATATTCTTAAAATTTCCTTAACCTATGAGTTACTTCCAGGTGTGGCGCCGTGGGATAATGCGTCAGACTACAAAGTAGTTTGAACTGCAAGGTCGGTGGTTCAAGCTCACTAGCTGCTCCTTGGAAACCCTACACAGGGTCGCTATGGGTCGGAATCTACTCGATGGCACTTCACAACAACAACAAAAGGATAAACACATGTTAACCCTTGGGTGATGGGTAAAATAATATACAGTAAGAGATAAAAACTGTTAACTGATGAGGCATGGAAGAAAGAAATTACAGTCCTTGTAATGAAGCAAGGTATATCATTTGTTGGATGTAAAACTGATGATCTTTTCTGTAAACCTTCACTCAATTCACAATTAAAAAAAAAAAGTATTCCATTCAATCTCTAGAGACTTAGGCAAGGTTAGAGCCCAACTAGAGAATCAAAGAAAAGTTCAGACTCACCGACCAGAGAAATCTAATTCCATAGCAGAATATACATAAATAAAATGTGAATCTCCACCTGAATGGGAGAAAGAGAAGAAGTTAGCTACATGTTACACACAAAAAAAGTCCGTGAGGCTAGTGAAGTCAAGACAACAGATTTGGGGTGAAATAGTTACTGGTGAGAAACAGGGTAAGTTCCCAGAATAAGGACAAACATTGTTACCAAAAAAGTCAAAGACAGAGTCATATTCTAGCTTCTCTTTAAAATACATTGCCACAGTGTATACAGGCTTTAATAATGTACTTTTCTTCCTGTCAATTCCCCAACGATAGTGTCTAATCTTTTTCTCTGAACAACACTGACCAATACAGAGCTCTGTCTCTAGAGGATAACTAGTGAAAACTCAATGAAGATGTATTTTCCTGAAATGGGATGTTCCTCACAGAATTAAGAGCAAGCTGGCATTTGCTAGCTCTACCAAGGTGTAAAATAGTGTATATATATCTCTATGTACATAAATCCAAGTATGGGAATTATCTCTCAATCTATTTGGGAAAGTAGGGACAAAACATAATTATATTTAACTTAGTGCCAAACATGTACAACAAACTTTTGGGTGATCAATCTTCTAGTTCTCTTACTATAATAAAGTTAACCCTCTGCATCCAATGATAGTTGTCCGAACAATGAAAGTGACTTATAAAAGGAAAACCTCAGTTCAGTCATATTCCCACCCTCCTCCTCCTTCCATATCTCCCTCTGCACACCTACATGCTTTCACAGAATTTAGTGAGCGTTGGGGGCTTGTCCTGATTCCTTCGATGGCGAAACCAGCATTGGATTTTTCGGACATCCCAATCCAGTTGCTTTGATAGGCCCTCCAGCCTTTTCTCATCAGGATACTGTAGATGTATGGCCAGAGTCAGAATAGTCCTTTTCCTCTCAAGCCTCTCATTAAACTCCATTGACTAGCTGACTGGCAAAGGGACTATATAACCACTATAACCAGTGACTCAAGTCAAGATTATTGATACTAACAATCCAAGCAATAGGGACTATCAGGACCACACCCGTATTGTTTATATAACTATACAGACTATCAGAACCACACCCGTATTGTTTGTATAACTAGGTAATAACAGTTGGAGTAAGTAGGGGGAAAAAAATCAAGAAATGTGTTTGGGGATGGGGACAGCATGGGGTGGGATGGTAGTGACTGCTGTGTCTAAAACTCAAAGTTATGTGAATTTAACTTATTTAGGAACCCTGGCCCAAAGGTATTTCTCTGAAGGGATAAAGTTCTCCTTACAACTAAATGGACTACTCAAATGTGAAAGGTCATCGATCCTATTTTTACCCGGAAGGATACTAGTTCTCCATCCTCCCCCCCCCCGCCCTATGGGTCAATTCCTCATGGGAATTTTCCTCCCAGTTTCCTTGCCCACTTACCTTGGTAATAGATAAGAACACCTTTTCAAGAATGGCATTGGATTGGGCCTGATAGGGACCACTGTCCTGTATGCCAACATGGAGAGCACAGGGTTTGGCAATAAACCTAGAAGGGAAAAAACCCAAGGATATGCACTGAACTGCTAACTTCAAGGTCAGCCGTTTAAACCCACAAAGCCCTGAGTCATAACCAACTTGATGGCACTTAACAACAACAAGCATAAAGGAAAGTCCCTGATTAGGGAACTAAGAGGAGGAAAAGGGGAAACACTGAACTGGAAGCCAGAACTCTGATTTAGCCCTGGGCTCTGCCACTGACTCACGTGATAACTGACCTGTTTAAGACATGTTGAAACATAAACTATTTTCCCCTCATATCTTGAGTTTAAGAATCATAAAGATCTAGGCCAAATCATTATTCTACCGTTTAATGCCTGTATGACTTGGTAGAGTCCTGGTGTGGCACTGCAGAGGTCACTTTGAACCACAAGCTTACCAGTCCCTCCTTGGAAACCCTATATAGGATCACTATGAGTTGGAATGTCTTGAGGGCACTTAACAGGATGTGGCACTGTGGGTTAGTGCGCTGGACTGCAAAGTTGGTTTGAATTGTAAGGTTGGCAATTTAAGCAACAACAACAACAACATGACTTTGGCAAGTTATTTAATTTCCCTGAGCCTCAGTTTTGTTTTTTAATCTATAAGATAAAGATTTGCTGTTGTTAAGTGCTGTCAAGTTGGTTCTGACTCATAGCAATCCTGTATAGGGGCTCCAAGGAGCACCTGGTGGGTTTGAACTGCCAATTTTTTGGTTCACAGTCCAGTGCTGATTCTATAGCACCATGAGTCCTGGTGTAGTGCTGTAGGATAATGCACTGGACTGAAAGGTATAGGTATGAACCACAAGGTTGGTAGCTCAAACTCACCCAGTTGCTCTTCAGAAACCCTATACAGGGTTGTTAAGAGTCGGAACCGACTTGGTGGCATTTAACAACAAGATAAAGATAATACCAACATTTTTACCACTCAGTATATGTGTGGGCTTCTGAATGTTTGTGGAAGTTTGTGGAAATATGCAATTGAAAGAATGGAAGGGGTACTAGAATCTGCCCAGTGAAACAGGCTTCTTTTTAAGCCTTTGTAGAGTATGGGACCTTAGGTGGAATCCTGAGTCTCATCCAGAACTTTCTGAGGAGGGGCAGCCCCACTTGAAAGGGCATGCAGACCAACCTGGAGTGACTATAAGAACAGAAGACACTTCTTGAAAGAAAGACCAGCAAGGGGGGGTGGCGGGAGGTGGTGGAAGCATACTGTTTGGTTGTTACAAGAACAAGTAAATTGTCTGCCTGGGAGCCATCAAGGCAAGAAAAGTCAGCCCATCAGGGAAAACCCCCTTCCAAAACTGAAACTCAAAGAGAACACACGAGAAGGCTTGTAAACTTGCTGGTGACCACCTTGGTCTACTTGTGAGTGGAAGTGGGGGAAATGCAGCAATGAAGACATGGGCTGAGTTCGATCATGTTCCATGGACACCCATCGACCTTGAAATGAGAGAGAGAAGAGGAAGGGCTTGCTGATGTGAAGTTTAGGGAGGCTTGGGAACTCCTGAGCCCATGGACACTGACCTAGCCACTGATGGCTAGAGCTGAGAGTGAAGCAGCCAGCTGATCTAAAGTGGGAGAAGGCGTGCAGGAACATCCAGACTTGCAGATAATACCCATTTGATCTAGCTTGGATGGCTTGCTGATCAGAACTCAACCAGAAGAAGATAAAGAACTCTGATACAGAAAGCAAGTGTCATAAATTGCTATGATTTGATGAACTGGACCTTTGTTTATGGATGCGGTTGCTCAAAATTCCAACTGAGAGGGAAGGAGTCTTCACATCAACGATCAAACCTGTCCCCTCAGTACACAGGGTTGACAGGGATGGGTAACTTAGACATTAAATACCCAAAATGGGGGGAGGGGGGCTATAAAGGCACGAAGTGGCTGGCTTACAAGTTTTCAAGAATGTGCTTAGTTTCAGAATGAGGGGGGTAAGATAGAATCCTCACTGAATAGTTTTCCTCTTGCCAAGATGGGTCTGGTAGAAGAGGATTGGGGATAGGATACCTCTGATTCATTAGTAATTGTTATCATGACAAACTGCGATTGTCATAGTGTAAAGGTAGAAGTTAGAAACAAAAAGGGGGGAGGTAGTTAATCTTTTAATCCAGGAACACAGGACCCTAGGACTATCAAGAGAGAAGAACATGGGATCCTAATCAGAAAAGCAGTGACAGCAGAGATGGAAGCAGAGGCGATGCCACAGAGAGATAGAGCAGCTGAGGACTCCAAACCCATGGAATGAGAAAGGTTGTATACCTGAGGAAAGGAGGCTGGCCTGCAAAATATGCCCTTTGGTTGTTTGAAACAAAATATGATTGGTTGAGTGGATTGGTTGAGTGTAAAACTGATGCTCTGCCCTGTAAACTATCACTCAATTCACAATAAAAGCTTTAAAAAAACAACAACTGAATTTTCCCACAAACTTTTTGAAGATACCTCATATGGTCTACAGACCAATAGCATTATTGGCATATCATAGAAGCTTATTTGAAATATACCCATCTTACACCTACTGAATAAGAATCTGCATTTTAACAAGATGCCTGGGTCATTCATATACATGTTAAAATGTGAGAAGCACTAGTCTACATCAGAAGAACTGTGTAAGTATTCAATTACAGAATGTGTATGAAAGACCCTGGCACATGGAAAATACTTAATAAGTCGTGGTTTTCCTTACTTCAAAAGATTGTTGTTGTTGTTTGTGCCGTGGAGTCGGTCTCAACTCATAGAGACCCTGTACAGGGTTTCCAAGGCTGTAAATCTTTACGGAAGCAGAAAGCCTCATCTTTCTCCTGCGAAACAGCTGGTAGTTTCGAACTGCTGATCATGAGATTAGCAGCCTGATTCGTAACCACTACACTACCAGAGCCCCTTTCTACTTTTCCTTCCACTTAAGACCTTAATCTTTTGATTAAGAAGGTCTTAAGTGGAAGGAAAAGTAGAATTAGGAATGAGCACTTCCTACACACAGATATCCTGAATCACCTTTCTGCCTAATGAAAGGATTCTAGAAATACTTAAAACTTTAAACTTTTAAGAGTCCCAAAGAAATGGTGAAGTTGTAAAGAATGAGACAAAAATCACCAATCAGCAATAAATTCTAGTCACAGATCTACAACTAAAGAGTAGTATAAACTTGGTCAAGCAACTTTAAACTTCTTGGTTCTCAGTTTCATCAACTAAAAGAAGAGGTTATACTAGATGGTTTCTAACATCACGCCCCCGACCCCCCTGTATTTAAGATTTAATGATGCTTTCACTGGTTATAATTATATCTAACTTTTAGAGCCTCGAAATATAAGTAACCGTTCATTCCTTGGTTCTTCATAAGAGACCTCACTCTTCCCCACAACCAGAGATTTTTGTGTGTGTGAATATCAGCTCTAAGTAAAGCTCTATAGAGTCAAAATAAATTTTAGTTTTAAATATCTTTTGGCATCTTATAATGGAAATATGAATGGGAGGCATAAGATGGAATGTTTTTGACTTGCATAAACATATTTTAGTAAATTGTTATAAATTACATATAGTTTAGGAGAAAACAGAAAGGGAGTTATTATATTCAAGAACTAGAATATCAAAACATTAGCAATAACAGTTAAATATTACAACAATTCATATTATTAATAAATTTGTATTTATCTAATGAAACATTACTTAAAAATATTCCATACAAAACCCACAGCAATCTTTCAGTATACTGGTCCTGTATAATTAATTTCTGTTCCATTCAGTCCATAGGAGAAAGACCTGGCAATCTATACAAATTACCATTTAAGAAACCCTATGGGGCAGTCCTAGTGTGGCACTGTGGGTTAATGCGCTGGACTGCAAGGTTGTTTGAACTGCAAGGTCAGTGGTTCAAGCTCACCAGCGGCTCCATGGAAACCCGATACAGGGTCGCTTTGAGTTAGAACTGACTCGATGGCACTTAACAACAACAACATGGTGCAGTTAGGGTTACTGTAAATTGAAATCAACTTGATGGCACCTACCAACAACCACTTGATCCTGGATCAGCAGTTTTATGAACCATCAGCCTCTCCTTAAGGGTTTTGGAAATCTTGACTAAGTTCAGTGTATACACTGTGCCGTTTGAAGTGTTAAATTCACAATTTCTGACACAGTTCTATACATTCGGAGAGCCTCTTTTTATTTAAATACTTTGGTATATGGCTGACTGCAAATTTAGGGAGTCAGAGTAAAACTACCAGCAGATGACAAAACTTAAAAATGGGCATGGGTAATTTATTAATTATAAATTAAAAAGGTGAACATCATCTTTAGAGATGAAATAACATTAAGTATGGTAGCGTAGTGGTTACGAATCGGGCTGCGAACCTTAAGGTCAGTGGTTCGAAACTACCAGCCGCTCCGCGGGAGAAAGATGAGGCTTTCTATTCCCGTAAGGATTTACACCCTCGGAAACCCTGTACAGGGTCGCTATGGGTCGGCTCCGACTCGAAGGCACTTAACAACAACAACAATACTTTAAGATAAGCACTGTGGGCTGTGAACCATAAGGTTGGCTGTTCGAGCCTGCAGGAGAAAAGATGAGGTTTTCTGCTTCTGCATAACATTTAAAGCCTTGGAAACCCTGTACAGGGTGGCTATGAGTTGAAACCCACTCCGTGGCAATTAACAAGAACTAGAGATCGTTAAGATATACCAAGACTATCAAGATTTTTAAGTAAAGAGATTTCATTGTCTACTAGGTTGTATGGACTCCTGGTATGGCACTGTAGGATAAGCACTAGACTTCAAAATACAGGGTCAGTGGTTCAAACCCACCATGCTAGGTAAAGTGGAGGGTCAGCAACAAAGGCAAAGGCCCCTAATGAGATAGACTGGCACAGTGGCAGCAGCAATGAACTCAAGCTTAGTAAGAATTATAAGGACAGCACAAGATTGACCAATTTTTTTGAACTGCATCTGAATCCAGAAATTTATTTTCTCTAAGGGAGGAAAGGAAAATAAGACACTTATTATCTTC